ATTGTGGATACTTTAACATTTCTCACTGTAAATAGAAATAAAACAAAATGAAAATTGATAAGAAACACCTGTTCCATTGAGATAAGATGGGGTTAGTTTGAGCTGACTTTTATTGATTCCCTGATGCTTTCAAATTGTTGTTTGAAGTTAAATTTTATGGACAATTTTCAATTAATATAAATAGTTTCCTCTTACTTTTACTGTAAATAATAATACATCTGTTGACAAGACTGAAGACAACTTATTCTGACCACTACTTGGTTCAGGGGGATCATATACTGTAAATCACAAAATGTTTGCGTCACGATATTTTTGCGAGTACCCCGCCCAACAGACATTTTTGCGTCGTGATATTTTTGTGACTTGCCTAATTCTCAAAAATAGATTGCAACTGAAAGTTCTATCTAATCACATATTAAAAGTTGCCGCTAACCTTGAACTGAGCTCAGTAGAGTACTTCTGCGTGTCTAGATCTGTTGTTGATTATATGAACTGGTGACAAAGAAATCAATATTGTGTCCGACTGTTAGGTGCCAGAACTTCTGAATCCTGTTGAAACCAGTTGTTTGTGTGTCATGCTCCCATGACAGACCATTCTCTTCTGAGGTCTTGGTCAGACATGTGTATCCTTAAAATTGTTCTTGACTCGTATCTGTTCTCTTCCAAAAAAGTAGTGGACAGTTGGGAATAAATTGTAAGATATATTCCTTTCTCGTGGTACTTGTATCACAAAAGAATGGCTAGGGTACACATTACAACCAATAGTATGACAGATGTTTTGACTTCTAACAATCTTGAGGGATGATTAGGATCAAAGATGGAAAATGACCTTGGTAAGCTGATCTTTTTGGATGAGAAGTGTGTTATACCACACCCTGATTTGTCAAACATTCATTCACTTGATGAGTCATACTGCATATGAGTTTCACAATGTCCATTTGAGGAGATCTCTCTGTCTCACTCTTGTTCCAATTCCCACTGGGCGGTTGGTAGCCTAATGGTTAAAGAGTTGGCTCGTCACGCCGAAGACCCCGGTTCAAATCCCACATGGGTACAATGTGTGAAGCCCATTTCTGGCGTCCCTCGCTGTGATGTTGCTGGAATATTGCTAAAAGTGGCGTAAAACCAAACTCAGTCAGTCAGTCAGTCAGTCAGTCAGTCAGTCAGTCAGTCCATTTGCCGCCAAGATCAGCCAACATGTTCTTCTGGCCAAGATACATCTTAAAGTTGACGCCAAGATCAGCCAACATGTTCTTCTGGCCAAGATACATCTTCCAGTTGACGCCAAGATCAGCCAACATGTTCTTCTGCCCAAGATACATCTTCCAGTTGATGCCAAGATCAGCCAACATGTTCTTCTGCCCAAGATACATCTTCCAGTTGACGCCAAGATCAGCCAACATGTTCTTCTGCCCAAGATACATCTTCCAGTTGACGCCAAGATCAGCCAACATGTTCTTTTGCCCAAGATACATCTTCCAGTTGACGCCAAGATCAGCCAACATGTTCTTCTGCCCAAGATACATCTTCCTGTTGACGCCAAGATCAGCCAACATGTTCTTCTGCCCAAGATACATCTTCCTGTTGACGCCAAGATCAGCCAACATGTTCTTCTGCTCAAGATACATCTTCCAGTTGACGCCAAGATCAGCCAACATGTTCTTCTGCTCAAGATACATCTTCCAGTTGACGCCAAGATCAGCCAACATGTTCTTCTGCCCAAGATACATCTTCCAGTTGACGCCAAGATCAGCCAACATGTTCTTCTGCTCAAGATACATCTTCCAAGATCAGCCAACATGTTCTTCCAAGATACAGTTGACGCCAAGATCAGCCAACATGTTCTTCTGCCAAGATACATCTTCCAGTTGACGCCAAGATCAGCCAACATGTTGTTCTGCTCAAGATACATCTTCCAGTTGACGCCAAGATCAGCCAACATGTTCTTCTGCAATGGGGGGAAGGTCTGGGCTTATTGCCAGATATGGCATTCTGTGGATCTTGTGCTTCTTGAGGTGAGCCTTGATGATTTGTGCTCAGTGAACTTTATCGTTGGTGCTCTGAAAGACAAAATTCCTTGCAAGCAAGGAAACAAATGATGCCAGTATGTTATCCTGATAACACTGTGTGTTGACCATTCCTTCCATGATGTGGAGTTGGGTTTCCTCAGTCATACTGATGCCACCCTGCACCATAACCGATGCGCAGCCTGTCAGGAGGTCTCAAGTAGATATTGGCTTCATGTTCATTTGGAAGTAGTCAGACACAACCATTCCCTTCAAGCACTGCCTCAGTGCGAAGTGAACCAGGACTCATCAGATGACATGACAAGTGATCCTGGTCACCTTAGTTTGGTTGTTGTGTAAACCTTTTACATATGTGGGCAATCTGAGATTTGTAAGGTTCAGCATAACACTTGGCCGTTGAGAATGGAGTTGAGCTGCATGTTGATGATGTCTTATTGTCAGACCTATTGCCTGGTGGAAGCATGCAGCAATGTGATTTGCTTTTAGAGCACATTTTGTACAGTCTATTTTGTTTCAGTAGATGCAATGACCTGGGACATCCTAAACTGGATCAATCAACAACATTTTGGGTTTGTTTCCATGGCAACAACTTTGACTGAAGCTGAAAATTGCGATAGTGCTTACAGGGTATTTCCAGATCAGATCTTGAAAACCATGCAATATTTCTTCACCAATGTTGGTACATAGATATGTGGTAGATAGTGATGAACTGGTACATTTTGAAGTTTTAAAAAAATATGTTTTTCGGGTTTCCATGTCCACAACTTGGATTTAGGCTGGAAACAATTGTTGTGCTCTTCAGTTCCATATCTGTGATTCTTCATTGCTTTTCCTAATGAGAGGTTTTTATTTCTTTTTGAGTTTATATGGTATACGAAAGATATTCACTAAACATTTTTGTTAAGTTTTATATGCAAATGAAGATGAGGCATGATTCTATGCTGATGGATATGCCACTTTGCTTTCCAGCACTGAGCATGGATCAGCAATTTTCATCAAGGAGGAAATTGATGATATATCTCTGCCACTGCCATCATATAGACTTCAAACAATGTCACGTGTCTCTCATGCTGATGTAACGTAACGCTTCTTGCACTTTTTTGTGTACAAACCAACTATGAGTGAAAAGTGGAGTTGAGTGAGTCAACATTTAGTGTAATGTCGGCATCATGCCAGCAATGAAAACACATTCTTATCTACGCCTTTGTCATCTATGCAAAGTTTTATTTCATGGATAACTTTTTAAACATAATCAGCATAGAAACATATAGAACTGTTAACAGTAAGTTCAGTTTGAAACTGTATAGTATATCAGAGGCATGATATAAACATGATAAAGTCTATAGAAAGTGTTGAGGTTTATGAATAGTGAAACCTGGCAAAGATAGGATGTATGAAAACTTGAAAAGTGAAGTTACAAAAGTTATAAAATATAAAACCAGTACCTTAATTGAAGACAAAAGTAATGAAAATTGAAATTAGTGTTCAGAAGTAATGAGGTTTCTGTTTTTTTTTATGTTTCTTAATCTTTTTAATGTGGAAGAAACTTACTCCACAAATACCATCACACTTGACATGCACTCAGTATGACCACTTGACATTTTCAAGAAAAGCATTTACTATTGTAATGATATCAATGACTTTGTGCTGTTGTTTCATATTTTCAACCAAGCAATTCATAGATTTTCTTAAGTATGTTTTGATTAAAACCTCTGTTTGAAATACCCAAATTATCATGTTATGCTTTCTTTGGAGACAAGAATGAAAGTCTGAGAACTGAAGCATGTCCAAGACTTTGTAATGTAGGTCTGTTGCTGAAGTCCCAACCGTTGTGGTTATGCTTACTTTGGAGACAAGAATGAAAGTCTGAGAACTGAAGCATGTCCAAGACTTTGTAATGTAGGTCTGTTGCTAAAGTCCCAACCATGACTTTTATGGCTTGTGGTTATGCTGAGTTTGAGAGTATGGAGACAAGAATGAAAGTCTGAGAACTGAAGCATGTCCAAGACTTTGTAATGCAGGTCTGTTGCTAAAGTCCCAACCGTTGTGGTTATGCTTACTTTGGAGACAAGAATGAAAGTCTGAGAACTGAAGCATGTCCAAGACTTTGTAATGTAGGTCTGTTGCTGAAGTCCCAACCATTGTGGTTATGCTTAGTTTGGAGACAAGAATGAAAGTCTGAGAACTGAAGCATGTCCAAGACTTTGTAATGTAGGTCTGTTGCTGAAGTCCCAACCGTTGTGGTTATGCTTAGTTTGGAGACAAGAATGAAAGTCTGAGAACTGAAGCATGTCCAAGACTTAGTAATCAACCCATGGCCCCCTCATGACCAGTGAACATCTTATAGTATTGTAGGTCTGTTCCATCCATTCTAGGGAAGACTGTTGCATAAAGCAGTCATCAATAAATCTTTCCTGAATTTTTTTTGCTTGTTTTCCTATCAGGTCAACTTTATGCTCAAAGGTTTTCTCTTGGTATCCCGGTACAACGTCCTTGTTCTCTTTGTAGTATTTGGGTGGTGGCGGAGCCCAGTGGTTAAACTTGTCGCTCATCACGCCGAAGACCCGGGTTCGATTTCCCACATGGGTACAATGTGTGACACCCATTTCTGGTGTCCCCCACCGTGATATTGCTGGAATATTGCTAAAAGCGACATAAAACCATACTCACTCACTCACTCTTTGTAGTATTTAGAAGTGTTTAATCTGAGGTGATATATATATATATATATATAGCATAGCATGTTATGGGCTGGGGAGGCTCCCTTGGAGCAGAATGGACTTCTTTGTAACAGTTGACTCCATGTTTTTATTTAGTGTTTCCCCTGGCATATTTCATTAGCGCCCTTTTATTTAGCTTCTGCCCTTTTTTGAATCTTTGCCCTTTTGAATCGCCATATTATCTGCCCTTTGAAAAATCCAATATTTTCCGGATTTTAACAAAGGTAGGAGTTAGGTCCCTTCCCGGATGTTTTTGTTGTGCAATAAAACTACCTATTTAAGCCATGGCGATTTCGGCTTTGTTCACTTTCATTCTGATTCACAATGCCAACCAAAGAAAGAACAAAGAGGAAAAGAGAAGAAGCTGTGAAGGCTGAAGCAAGGAAGTGTCGTCGACTCCTGGATTTCTTCGCGCCAAAAAGGTACGACTTGACAATGACTTCCGCCATTTTGAACCGATAGCGGCAAAATTAGAAAACATTTCCAGCAATAATCTAGGTTCATGTGATCTCCTTTTAGCTAATTAAACATGCCCATTCTGTTTCTATTATGTTTAAGAATCTTTGCTGTAAATACTTTACGTCCATATCTTATTTTAGTCTTTTTGTGAGGAGAAAATAAAAACGAATGAAACAAAGGAAAGCCATATCGGACATGATCACTTCAGATTATTCCGAAGTTTTTTCTTTTCCTTTTCCTTTTGCAATGCTTGTCTCAAGTATTTAAAACACACCGGTGATTATTATCCTCTCTAATATTATGATTGTGAATAGATTCTAATATGTTTTTTTTTTTACTTTTAATTTCTCCTTGTTCAGTCGACCTCGCTCTGAAAGAAATCTTTCGGAAGCACGTATTTTTCATTTCGATTTTCTAGATATACACAAAACCCTCTCATTTGCTATTGTTAAATATTTACGCTGGGTATATCTGTTAAAATTTCGAATTACCTAAGTAATAATTCCACACGAAATAGATACAGGAATCGAAGCCACATCAAACATGTCTATTTCTGAACGTATCTAAGTTTATTTTTTGCACTGCATACATGTAGTTTTTCATATTCTAAAATATCGGTAGAAATACGAAATTAATTTTTCTATATATACTTAATTTGAAGTTAGTAGATTTTGTGGTGGATAAGGTGTCTGCAATGAACAAAAGCATATCTAGTCTTAAAGATTTTCAAAATTAAAAATAATTGTTCCAAACTTTTGTGTATATTTATCTGATATTTTACCCTAATTTATCCTCAACTGAAATGTTTTTTCTGTGTGTGAATAAGTACTTTCATTAGTACAAGGTATTTTTACTATTCTTATTTTCTTAATTTTCAAAGGATGTTTTCTTATTACCAATTTACGAAATACAATAAATTTTGGCTGGAAATAAAACTGACTTGTATGTGTATTTCAGACCCGATGTAGAAGATTCAGAACTTGTTTGCTATGACATTGACAAGTGGTTGTCATCCAGTGACCCAGCTCCTCAGACAATTCAGAAGAAGAAAGATGCAGGTCACAAGCTTGTCTTCGATACCAAGTGGAAACAAGGTCGCCCCTGGCTAAAATACGTTGAGGATGGAAACGAGGAGGGTGAAACAAGCTGCATGATGTTTTGTTCTCTTTGCACGAAGTGGAATATGAAAGGACGAAATGGATCAGAGGTTGAGGGTCTTCTCCAGGGTGAAACTCATTGTGACAGACCATAGGAACAGGCTGAAAGTAAATAACTGCACCAAGCTACTTATGGTCAGCATGAATGCTAATTCTTCTACTGACATTGACTTGAGGACGTGTGTGGCCAAGTTCTTGGCACGAAAGAAGAGGAGAATATGAACGAATAATTTTATGAACTTGCATCAAATGATGTCAGCCACAGTAAATTACTGAACCCTTAATTGTTGTGCCTTTTTTGTTTGCTGAATGCCCTTTTGAATTTTAAAGTGCCCTTTTTTCTCTGAGTCTACCCTGCCCTTTCATAATCCTGGGGGAAACACTAATATGTTGGTGGTATATAGTATACAAGTTGGACATACTAACTAAAATGACCATATATTATATGTATAAAAAAGGTGTCATTGATCAACCCTGTGTGAAGGTGTTGATTTGTCCAAAACTGAAACAATAAGTTAACTGAGAAATCTATAGGTAAAAGAATGTAGTGTGAAACAAAGAAATATCAAACAAATATTAACTCAGTTTACTAATCAACATGAATTACTGTAAAGTAATTACAGTGGCAGAACAACATTTAATGGGAATATAGAATGCAACAGCAGTGGTAATAGCAATAAAGTCAGTATTAATAATATTTACCTAACAGCAACAGTGGTCAGGCTTCCAGAATAGGGCTAGTCTGGATAGCCAGGGTGAATACATGTTCATTGCAGGTTTTGACATTATGTTAGAGAAAAGAGAAATACTCTTTCCACCTAATATAATGTTAATACTTCCCTGAAAGTTCTGTACAACGCTGGATTTGTCTATACTTGTTCCACATGATTCTAGATCATACTTGACTTGAAATGCAACAGGATATAACTTCCATACCACTGCTTACATTAGATCATGTTAGATAGACAACTAATTATTGTGAAAACCTGATGGCTAAGACACATTGTTGAAATGTAGTTCTTGATGACACTGATAGTTACAGTGAACTCAAATCTGATTTTCCATGTCTGTCTCAGCTGCAATATTTGACCTTTGCACCTCCCTGACATTGGAAACTTAAACATCCAAATTGAATTTGTTTATTAAATGTATTGTTAGTATTTTTGCAAAAACTAAACATCATAAAATGTGTCCTTTTTTTGGCAGTCTTAAATTTTTTTTCTTGCTCTTGCAGCTAAACCTTAGGATGTATGTATCAAACTTTATTAAAATCATTTTATGTTTTTGTAATTAGTCCTCAGAAAATATAGAGATGAATATCAATGTGGACAGAAATAATATTTAAGTGTCTGTTTTTATGGAAATTTTATATTGCTGATTTAAACATCCAAGTGGGCAACGGTACAAAATCACTCATATCTAACTATTGAAATTAGGGTCCCATGGGACTCAGGAATATCATAGTCACATGGTCTACAAATAATAATGATGACCTTTCGATGTATTAGATGTAACTATAATGACATCATGTGAGTGATGATATTGAAAGGGAGAATGTGTTCCATGAGATACTTTGTGAATATATACAATATGGATCAATTCATAAAATCTGAATAGTGAACATGCTGCAAATATATTCATTGCAGTACAGAGGTATAGCAGTGCCAAACAGCAACATATTTACATACAAACTGTTTGGTCAGTGAGTAGAACATAGCAACATATTTACATACAAACTGTTTGGTCAGGGGGTAGAACACAGCAACATATTTACATACAAACTGTCAGGTCAGTGAGTAGAACACAGCAACATATTTACATACAAACTGTCAGGTCAGTGGGTAGAACACAGCAACATATTTACATACAAACTGTTTGGTCAGTGAGTAGAACACAGCAACATATTTACATACAAACTGTTTGGTCAGTGGGTAGAACATAGCAACATATTTACATACAAACTGTCAGGTCAGTGGGTACAACAGCAACATATTTACATACAAACTGTCAGGTCAGTGAGTAGAACACAGCAACATATTTACATACAAACTGTTTGGTCAGTGAGTAGAACACAGCAACATATTTACATACAAACTGTTTGGTCAGGGGGTAGAACATAGCAACATATTTACATACAAACTGTTTGGTCAGTGAGTAGAACATAGCAACATATTTACATACAAACTGTTTGGTCAGGGGGTAGAACACAGCAACATATTTACATACAAACTGTCAGGTCAGTGGGTACAACAGCAACATATTTACATACAAACTGTCAGGTCAGTGAGTAGAACACAGCAACATATTTACATACAAACTGTTTGGTCAGGGGGTAGAACACAGCAACATATTTACATACAAACTGTCAGGTCAGTGAGTAGAACACAGCAACATATTTACATACAAACTGTTTGGTCAGGGGGTAGAACATAGCAACATATTTACATACAAACTGTTTGGTCAGGGGGTAGAACATAGCAACATATTTACATACAAACTGTTTGGTCAGTGAGTAGAACATAGCAACATATTTACATACAAACTGTCAGGTCATTGGGTACAACAGCAACATATTTACATACAAACTGTCAGGTCAGTGAGTAGAACACAGCAACATATTTACATACAAACTGTTTGGTCAGGGGGTAGAACACAGCAACATATTTACATACAAACTGTTTGGTCAGTGAGTAGAACACAGCAACATATTTACATACAAACTGTTTGGTCAGGGGGTAGAACACAGCAACATATTTACATACAAACTGTCAGGTCAGTGGGTACAACAGCAACATATTTACATACAAAGTGTCAGGTCGGGGTAGAACACAGCAACATATTTACATACAAACTGTCAGGTCAGTGAGTAGAACACAGCAACATATTTACATACAAACTGTTTGGTCAGGGGGTAGAACATAGCAACATATTTACATACAAACTGTTTGGTCAGTGAGTAGAACATAGCAACATATTTACATACAAACTGTTTGGTCAGGGGTAGAACACAGCAACATATTTACATACAAACTGTCAGGTCAGTGGGTACAACAGCAACATATTTACATACAAACTGTCAGGTCAGTGAGTAGAACACAGCAACATATTTACATACAAACTGTTTGGTCAGTGGGTACAACAGCAATATATTTACATACAAACTGTCAGGTCAGTGAGTAGAACACAGCAACATATTTACATACAAACTGTTTGGTCAGGGGGTAGAACATAGCAACATATTTACATACAAACTGTTTGGTCAGTGAGTAGAACATAGCAACATATTTACATACAAACTGTTTGGTCAGTGGGTACAACAGCAACATATTTACATGCAAACTGTCAGGTCAGGGGGTAGAACACAGCAACATATTTACATACAAACTGTCAGGTCAGTGAGTAGAACACAGCAACATATTTACATACAAACTGTTTGGTCAGGGGGTAGAACATAGCAACATATTTACATACAAACTGTTTGGTCAGTGAGTAGAACATAGCAACATATTTACATACAAACTGTTTGGTCAGGGGGTAGAACACAGCAACATATTTACATACAAACTCTCAGGTCAGTGGGTACAACAGCAACATATTTACATACAAACTGTCAGGTCAGTGAGTAGAACACAGCAACATATTTACATACAAACTGTTTGGTCAGTGGGTACAACACAGCAACATATTTACATACAAACTGTTTGGTCAGTGAGTAGAACACAGCAACATATTTAGTAGTAGACAGGATGGTGGTACGGGACCAAGGTAGCTAAAGCTTTATTACATAGATAAAGCTTTAGTCGGATACCTTATTTTTACTGTTATTACCTATACAGAAAGCCTCATTTCCTAAATAATGCTTTAGTTGGATCAAGCTATGAAAGTGTTTATTTGATCTATGTCGTGTTGACGGGAGGTAATACTGTGTCATACGGTACGATCAACAATTCTTCTCTCACAAACCCCCTCCCTGGCCCATCCATCAAGTAGTACAAGGTAGGCTCGTCTGCTTTGATGTCAACTTTATCTATGTTGTAAGTTTTGACTGACCATATAGGATCGGTGGCTCGCTCACGGCTATCACCCTCGTGTTCCCCCGGCTGGTATAGATACCTCACTAGGACCCTGTCTGGTATCTGTTTCTCCTTCCCACGCAATGGAGCGGCCGACTCTGCAACTATTGATTTTAATTTGATAGCGTCTGCCGGCTTCTTGCCGGTGAGTCGTGTGATTTCATGGTTTATGGCAGACACCACCTTAGGGAGCCGCTCAACCCATTCAGTCGATCGTTTTCCGGGTTGCCATCTCCCTCGCGATACTGATACCCGAATAAACGTTCAGCCAAAGTCCTATTGAATCTCTCAACTATGGCTTGACTGCGATGGGCTCCAGCCGTACCACGCCTGACCTTTGTATCGTGTTTAGCTAGCAGTTGTGACACGGTACCCATAAACTCACGTCCGGGTCAACTTGGAGCTCTGTTGGCCATGTCAACGGACTGCGCTTGTATATGCGCGTTCCATGGCTTGAGCTACCTGGGCAGAATCTTTTCGTGGTCAATGGTTCAGCTTCCTTATACCCGCTGGCTACATCCACGATAGTCAGAGCATACTTGTGGTTTTACGTCTCACCCTGTCGTTGAGGTAGGAACAGCAGGTCTGCTTGGTGAACGTTATTAGGTATATTAATACCAAACTTCCTTCTAGGCACATAAGCGTGGTGGTGGTAAATATATCTGCCAAAGTGCTTGTTTTTCAAGCCATGTTTTGACCTCCTCCGGGATACCGAGTTATTTTAGATAGCTTATCTACAGCGCTAGCTCCTTTCCAATATCCACGCCGGACTGTAGTAAATAGCTTCAAACTTTTTCTGGTTCGCGTGACATGTCACTATTTATTTATACCTATGTTCTTGGTTCAATTTTCTCATGCCCAGACGATGTGCGTGTTTATCCCATCAATAGCTATCCAACGTTTGGTATCCATAGGGGATAATGATGTTTTATTTATAGTCAGCCCGTATATCCTATGCCCATCACTTCTAAGTGTGTTCATTTTATGTCTAAAGGTACGGTCTTGAACAGGGCTTCCTTGAATCTGGTGTGTTTGATGTGTTGTTTCACCACGTGCTTCTTAACACCCTTAGCTTTCGGATCTCACCATTGTCAGCCTTCAGTATAGAGTACATCTTAGGCCTCAACCCTATGTACTTTCGGCTATGGGCGTGCCAGCACACTCGTCCTTCATCTTACCTAGGACCTTTTATTCACCGTGCTGTGTATGGC